TCTCTCTCTTTTTATAACCGAATAATAATTGAAAAGATCAAATTATTTTCTACAATTTCATCATACATGCAATATTGGTTACGCGTGTGTTTTGTATATTAATATTATGATTTGATCAAATCCAATCCAATTTCTGTTGCCAAATTCTCATGCTTTTTTTTCTTTCCTACTTTCTTTCAATGAGAATCTATATTTCATTCAGAAAAAAGCTTTTGAATTTAATCAATGTCGTTTTTTTTCATCAACTTGTCTGTGTGTGTTTGTCTGCGTGTGTGTGTGTGTGTGTGTGTTGTGTTGATTCTTTTTATACCCCAGGAAAAAAAGATCGATATTATCGGCATGAATGAGTGAGTGAGTGAGTGAAGAGGGAAATGAGTGGTATAAAAAAAAATAATAATATTACTCGCATGCATTGTGACATAATCGCTGAAATCAAGTTATGGATATTTTCTCTCTCTCTCTCTCTCTCTCTCTCTCTCTCTCTCTCTCTCTCTCTCTCTCATCGTTTTTTTTTCTGATAGTTGTTGATGTTCCCCCCACTTTTAGTCCATTCTCATGGGTTTTTCGTTTGCTTGATTTTTTTTTCTCCAATTCTAGTCGTTTTCATTGAGTGAAATGAGATAGCTCACACACACACATACATACATAGCTTGTAATAATGTGAAAAAATAAAACTTTCGCCCTTCAAAAAAATGATATTCTACCAGTATCTTACCAGTCAATTTTTTTTTTTGCTTCCAACATTCCATTATGGCAAACATACGCTCATACACACACACACACACACACTAGAAGCCAATGGAGAGCAAAAAAAAATGCCAAAAACAGCATCAAAATCATTTATGTGAAAAGACATCGAACGAAAAAGAAAACAAAAATCGAGCAATCACAAAACCAATGAGGCCTTGAAACAATGAACATTGAGAAATATATAATGTTGTGTATATACCCACAAAACCCGAATCCTTTTTTTTGTATTGGTTGAAATTGATTTATCAAGAAAAAAAGAATCAGAATACACTCGTAATTGTAGTTTTACTTTATTTCGATTATTCATATAGATGTCACCCCATGAATTGATAGGCAACAAAAAAAATGTAATTCAACGATACAGATCGTTTATTGTTTTTTAGTTCTATCCGAAACCGAATAATAAGATCCAATATTATGAAAAAAATTCAACATGTATACCTTTCTTATAATTCAGACAATTACCCAAAATGCTATGCAATTCAATTCACTTTTACAGATATTTTTTTTCCGTCCGTCAATATCATTAACAGAAAACTAACAGAAAAATCACTGAAACAGGACTAGAAAAGTTTTTATTTGATTCTCTCACTCATCAGAAAAGTAAATCATTTAGTTTGTGTTTATCTATGTTTCAAATGTGTGTGTGTGTGTGTGTGTGTGTGTGTGTGTGTGTGCGTGTGTATCTCTGGATCTTGTAATCCATGATTGCCGATTTCGAATGATAAATCAAGTGGATAGTTAAACATAAATGCTCTGTTTTGCTATAAAAACAAGAATATTCTGGATATAATCAAAAAAAAAAATATATATACTTCAATAGTATAGCTTTCGGATTCAATGACTTTATTATCTTTTTCTCTCATTCTCCATTTGATGATTGTTTTAGTTTTGTAGTAATATAGTCATTTAGATTCTGTATACTTTTATTTTTCATTTGAAGAGTTGAGAATTGATTACAACAGCGATATTCACATCAATAGAGATAGAGAGAGAGATCAACAATAACATTTATCGATAACAATTTGTAATCAATGATGATAATGATGAATATAAATAGGCAAATTTTTTTTCCTGTTATCATCATCACCATTGATGATGATGATGATTTTTTTTTTGTTGCCGATCCAAATTGATTTCGTTTTTTTTCTGGCCAATTTAAGATCATTGAATCATTATTGTTGTTCATGATTTGAGAGAGATAAATCATACTTGAAATCTTTGTGATGATGATGATGATGATCTTTGATCACATTCAAAACGAATGTTTTCAACAATTGAAAACAATGATAATATGTACCAGATAGAGAGAAAAAAAAATGGAATAAGATTGATAAAAGTTGAAAATGTATTTCATCAATTGAACAGCTGAATATATGAATTGAAAAACGGGCGTGTTTTTTTTATTTGTCATAAAATTGTTGTTGTTGTTGTTGTCAGTCAAGAAATAGTGGTAAAAAAACCACCATCGTAAAAAATAAAATGAAACTTAAATACACACACACAAAAAAAACATGATTGAAGTAATGATAGATGTTCACTATAGAATATGTGGTGTTGGAATTTAGTTTTATGTAGTGTTATAATACTGGAAAAAAAACGAAAGAATATGACAAAAAAAACTAGAAGTTCCATGAACAACCATAAAGAATTATTATTCACCGCCCGCCCTTTGCCGGAATTGTGTAACGGGTCAATGGTTTTAATCATTGTGATTGATATCATTGACAAGAATTTATTTTTTTTTCCACAGAATTTTTTGTTTCTTTTCGTTATTGAAACAATTTCATTGTGATCGTTGTTGTTGTTGTTGTTATTTTTTTTCTGACTACCGGTTACTGAATTGATGGTCAATTTTTTTTATCTTGAATATTTCTTTGGTCGATTTTTTTTGTCTTCATCAAACAAGTTGATTTACATTGATTGACAAACTAAACAAAATGTTTTGACAGAAAAAAAAATAAAATGGAGATAAAAAAAATTGAAGAAGAAACTATTCAATTTGTTTTGTCATTAAATCTCTGGAAATTTGGTCAAATTCTATTTTTCTCATTTTGTTTTTAATCTTGAATGTTATTGTTATTATCATTGTGAATGATGATGAAAAACACATTACTTTATTGTTCAATTTGTTCAATGTTTGCGTATTGGTTTTTTTTTCATCATCATCATCATCATCATCATATTCTCTCTCTATATATTTACAATAAATTCATCCGGTTTATTTTTTTTTTGTACTCATTCATTGAATCTATTCGCTAATAGTAATCTGTGCCCATCTGGTTTTTTTTGTTATTTCTCATAATAACAGAATCAAATCAGTTTATTTCAGTATCTCTCTCCCTCTCTCTCTCTCGGTATACGTTTATCAATGTTCCAAATTAAATGAGTACATTCTGTAGTATCTGTGAATGTGCAGTACAATAGGAATAAAATCAAATCGAAAAGAAAAAAAAATTACCAAAATAGAATACCGAAAAAAAAATCCCGTTAACCAAAATAAAATGTCCTAACTGACTATAAACAACAAAATTATATGAAGAAATTGTAAAATGCAATCCAAAAATAACAAAATACTTTTTTTAAAAACAATGAAACCAAAAAAGTGTTTGTTATTGATTCCAGAATTTTGATACATTAAAGGATAATGAATGGATGATGAAAAAAAAATCGAGAATCAAATTTGTTTTCGGTTGATTTAATTCATTCATTCACATTATTTGTTATTATTCGCTGCTGTTGTTCAGATTCATCATGATAATAATTGTTGTATGATTAAAAAATTCGGTAAACAATTCGATAATTATTATATCGATATCATCATCGAATGTGATATGATAATGCGTAGAATATTATTTTTTTTTGAAGAGTATCTTTTCCATTCAATCAATTCCATTTCTAACAGTATGAATCACACATCAAACACAGAATCGTATGATCATGACACATATTGGAAATTGCGTATCGAAAATTTTTTTCTTTTTTTTTGCATTTTTATATGACAAATGGAAATTTCTAAAAATTATTTCTCTCTCTCTCTCCATCGTTTTGTCGCTTTTCATTTACTTATATTTTCGGTACATTGAACAAATTTATGCATTCACGCCTTTTTATTCTTGTATCCAAAGTTTATAACTTTCATATATAAAATCAATGAGCATCACATGAGTGAATGAGACAGAAAAAAATTTCTCATTTCGATATGGTTACAATCAAAAAAAAAAAAATTTTTTTTTCGATTCATTTTCATCAACTTTTCTTGGTCGATTGACGATTGGAATTACAGTAGAATACCACCACTGCCACCATCATATCATCATTCACATTGATTCAATGATGTTTATCCACACAAACACAATAATAATCAAACTCTTTTTTTATTCCACAACAACAAATATATATTTGATATATATAATATAATTTCATTAAGATTCTCATCATTTCATATTTCATATCATATCGATATATAGATGTATTAATTTAATAAGTCGATAATGATTTTCAAACTATGGCTGCTTAATTGCATATTGATATCATGAACAGAAAATATTATATATAAATCAAATACAAAAAAAAATATGAAAAAGATTGTTGGGTCATCATGTTAATTTTTTGTGTGTCCGGTTGTTGTTGTTGTTGTCAACATATATACTTCATTTTCAATTCAACAACAACAACAACAACAACAATTTACGCAAATAAAAAAAAAAGAATTCAATCAAATGTCGAATTGCGGCCTTTTTATGGCCTTTTGATATGGAAAAATTTTTTTTTCCATTCTATCTCATTTCATGTTGGAACTTTGTTCCAAAATATTCTCTCTCTCTCTCTCTCTCTCTCTCATATTAGTAAATATGTAATTCAAAACATGTCCATATACATCACCACACACACACACACTATGAACATTGAAAATAAAAACGTTTCTGATGAAAATTTATTCCAAATAGAATACATTTCTATTTCTTAAATTCTATTCAATTCTATTGCATTATATTCTATTTACTAACGAATATATTTTCTTTTCAGTTCAATTCAGATTCAGATTTTCAGTTTTAGTTTCGTTTTCTTTTTCTTTTCTTTCATTTTCTATTCGAAAAAAAACAACATTTTCTATTACAGACATTCTATTTATTCGGCATTCTATTATCATCTTAAATGCATGAATTTTTGTTTTTTTTCAAGTTAAAAAAAATAAATAAATAAATAAAGAAAGAAAGAAAAAAAAAAGTATAATTCATTCTACTTACCAAGAACATTATATGGTGTCCATGTGACAATGAATGCAAGTAAAATGGCTGACAATGTTTTTGCAGCTTTACGTTCAGATTTTGGTTGAAATGTTGCACGCACACGTGTGAATGCGGCTGATGATGATAATAATGCTGGTGTCATTGTTGTTGATGTTTGTGATGTTGTTGTCGATTGTTGATGTTGTAATATATGTGCACCATGCTGTTGTTGTTGTTGTTGTTGTTTTGTATTTATATTTATTGATGATGATTTAGTTGTCATCATTGATCCCTGTGGTTGACGATTTATTTTGGAACGTTGTTGTGGTTGTTGCTGTTGTTTTGCAACTAATACAGGTGTTGTATGTGTTGGTTGATTCTGTTGATTATTTTTAGAATTACTATTACTTTTAACACAACGAATTGTGCAACAATTTTTAATCTGAATACTTGAATCACTATCATCTTCATCATCTTGTTCTGGTTCATTATCATTATTATCATCAATATCATCATCATTATCTTCATCAAAATCATCATCATCTTCATCGAAATTATCATCATCATCATCATTAGTATACATAAATACATTGGTTTGTAAATCTTCATCAAGAATATCATTATTATCGACATTAATAATTCCATCATCATCACCATCACCATCAACAACATCATATTCATCATCGATATCATCATCTAAGTCATCGTCATCATAATCATCATCTTCAAGATTATCATCATTGATATCATAATTATCATCAATGTAAACATGACATTCATCAATATTATTTGTTCCCAATTGTTCTTGTCGATCGACATTACGTTTATTATCCTTAGCAATGATTGATATCGATTGTAGTTCATCCGATATTATACCAGTAGCAGAATCTTGTCGGATCGCTGATGATGATGTTGATGATGACCGTTTTGATCGATGTGATCGTAACATTTTAATTGATTCGCCGCTTCGTTGATTATCATGATGATTGAAATCTTTTGGATCCTGTAATTTTATAACAATCGTATATATTGAACTATCCGATTGTGTATTATCATCATTGATTGATTCCATTTCTCTTATATGATAATTAATTCCCGTTTGTTTGATCGTTGACATGTCTAATGAATGATCGATCGATTTTGAAGGCATATCCATCATTCGTGGTCGAATATTTGTCGATGGCTGCTCTAATTCTAGGCTTTTTTGTTGACGAATCTGTTTCATTTTTTGTAATTGACGTCGTCTACGTAATCGTCGTAATCTATAAGCACAACCTGGACATTTAATTGCTGATGTTGTTTCGGTCGCTGTAACAACACCTGATTGCAATTCTTGTATCGAATATTTTTTCTTTAATTGTGACCTTTTACTATGTTTACTACTATCGCTGCTACAACGTTTATGTCTGGTATTATTGAATGTAAGCCGATTCCAGATCCAACCCAAGAATGTTAAAGATGATCTTCGAGATTCCGATGCTATTGAACCAATATCAGTCGCTGATGCAGCTGCTGCAATTTCTAATAGCTCATTTTCATAATCTTCAACATCTAAATCTTGTCCAACAATAGTTGCAGGTGATTTGAGACAAACTAATCCTTCAGTTGGATTTGGAATATCTTCCAATTTAATCTCATCCCCATAATCATGTGTAGAGAATATTTTTGGCGCCGGTTCAACATATGATTGTTGACCAATAGATGTATGTGACATTGCTCGACCAACAATCGAAATCGATGGCGTTTTATTATTGCTACGAAGTCGTGATGTACGGCCATGTGATGGTCGTACAAAACCGATACCGCAAGTTTTTTGTTGTTCAGAATCTTTGCCGATTTCTTGTTGAGAAGTGGCCGTTGACACAACTATCTGACTTGTTCGAACTTTATTACGGTATATCAAACTACGTGGGCAGTTTGGTAAATGGCTCGGACGTTTATGAGCTTTGGTCGATTGATTTTGATTCGAATTTTGATGATGACATTTCTTATCATCGCCAATAGGACTATTATTCGTAGTAGATTTCAATTTAATCTTACTTCGTGAATCACTAGTGGTTGGTAATGCGATATTTGTTCCACCAGTCAACGTGCCACTGGCAGTTGGTGTTGATGATTTTGTTATGGAAGTTGTTGTTGTCGTTGCAATCGTCGCCGTTGGTTGATTGGTTGTTGCCGGTGATATAACCACTAATGATGTGAGCTCACGATAACGATTTTCTGTCTCTCGCCAGATACGCCAATAAAGGATGCACATGATGGTTACTGGAATCCAGAATGCCATTATAGCGGTTATGGTTGTCACCCAAATGTTCGATTCAAGGAATGGTATATAACATTGATGTTCAGGCACTGTACGGCGACCTTCGATCTTTGGCCAGGCAAATATCCACGGTGGCCATAATAATGCCGATACTATCCAAGCAAATGAAATAAATATACAAGCACGGCGCGTAGTTCTTTTGGCTCTATAGGTTAATGGCCGTGTAACCGAAAAATAACGATCAAATGATATTAATAACAGATTTAATACAGATGCATTGGAATTAAGATAATCGATGGCCAACCAAATATCACAGATTGAATAGCCTAATGGCCAACCATCGGCAACAATATAAATCAATGATAATGGCATCGAAATGAAACCGATAAGAAAATCAGCAACAGCTAATGATAATAAGAAATAATTTGAAATTGTTTGTAATTGGCGATCAATTTTGAATGCTACCATCACTAAAACGTTTCCCAATATTGTAATTAATGATAATGATCCACCAATCAATATGATGGCATGATCAACAACTGTTAATTCCATGAATCCAGGATCAGTATTATTTTTAATATCAACAGAATTATTATTTCTATCATATTCATGGTTTGATAATGATGTGACCACAGTCAGTGTTGTTGTTGTTTTTGTTGTTGTTGAATCACTTGAAAATGTAATTGAATCTATATCACTGGATGTCATTGTTGATGTTGGTGATGATGATTTATCGTTTTCGGGTAATTGTTTTTGGTGCAATGGTTTCGGAATTGATTCAAAATAATTGCTTGTTATTTGTGATGATGGTGTTGGCATTGTTGTTGTGGTCATTATTATTGTTGAATCATTATTATTATCATTAAGCTCGTTAAATAAAAGATTATATGGATAATAAACATTTAATATTGACATTATATCGGTATCGTGTAATGTTGCCGTTGTTGTGTAATCAATTTTTGATACTTCTGTATCTATGATGGACGATGTTGTTCTAATTGTTGGTATTGTTGAAAACAATAACGACGATGATGACGATGGTGATAATGAGAATGTTTGTATATTAGATTCTAATGAATTTTCAATCGCTGTTTCTGTTGCCATTGATGAATCAATTTCATCCATATGATGATGAATTGCAAGACAAAAATGATGATGATTATTATCAATGAAAATATTGATAATAATTAATAAACAAAATATAAACATTAAACGATAAAACATGTTGTTGTTACCATTGTTCATTGATTTTTGATAATGATTATAATGATGATGATGATAATAATAATTGGTATCCATCTTTGTCATTGTTGAATGATTATTTTGATTTTTCAATATTGAAAAAATATTGGAATGTTTTTTCAAATATGTTTTCATTGTAATTAATGGCGAATGAAAATTTTTATTTAAATTTTCACAATTTGATCTTTTTTCTCCAGATTTCTCAAATGAAATGACAATTTTTTCTTCACTATCAACATCATTAAATTCATCAACATTTTCATAGTGATCATCATAGAATTTATTTTGTTTGCATCTATCATCATCATCATCATTGTGGTTGGCTACAAAAATTTTATTAACATTTTGACATTGATAAAATCCATCCGAACAAATTGCCGTTGGTCTTTTTGATTCTTTTTTCTTTTTTTCTTTTTTCTTTTGTTGTTTTTGTTGTTGTTGATGGTGTTGTTGTTGTTGTTTGCCAATATTTTTGTCATCAATATTTTCATTATCATCTCGATATTGATGATACCAATCAATTTTTTGATAGCTATCGCAATCATTTTCATCATCATCATCATCATCAACAACAACAACAACATGATCGTCATCGACCAGAATATTCGAATTATTATTATTATTATTATTAGCAACAACAACAACAACAACAAATGCATCGCCATTGTCATTCATCATAAACAAAAATGATATCGATGATGATGATAATAATAACAATGATGTTGGCATCGAAATTGACCACCATGAACAATGTTGATTATAATGATGATGATGATCATATAAATGAGAATATTTATCTGCATCACTAGTGTCGATTAATATAATTAATTGAAAAATTTGGAAGTAATTTTGACATAATATCAATAATGGATGAAGGCAACAGGCATTAGAATTTTGATAAAAATATAATAAACAAATACAATGCCGATGATTATAATGGCGATAATAATAATGATAATGATGATGATGACAAATAATCATCAGTCATTATAAAATGATAATCAATATGAATGAAACAAAAAAAAATGATTGATCCAAAATATTGATATTCACATAATAGTAGTTTTATGGTTGGATATATATGGATGATATAGAAACTAGAAACAAAAAAATTTAGAAACAGCGAAACAATTTCTATTATCGATCAATAAATGAATCGATTGATTGATTGATTAAGTGATTAATTCGAAATGATGATTCGATATTTTTTTTTTTTGGTTATGTCAATTAATTTCGTTGATGATGATGATGATGATGATTAAATGTTGTTAATCATGTTGAATGTAGAATTCCAATGTGCACACAAATAGATGCAAACAGATGACACACCAGTTATCAGTAATAGTGTAAAACCAAAAAAAAAACTACTTTACACATTTGATATTACAACAAATCCGAAAATGATTATTATTCGTGTTCGTTGTTCATTCATTCATTCACTAATGGATGGATGTGATCATCATCCGAATATTTTTTATTTTTTTTGGAAAAATTTCCGGATATAAATTTCATAAAAAAGATGATGATGATATGATGATAATGATTTTCTCATCATCATCATCATGTTGTTGTTGTGTTAACATTCATCATAGTAACGATAATTCAATTAAATTCAATTTGATTGCACTAGTTATTATTTTTTTTTTTTTTTTGTCAATTCTTGTTCGTTGTTGTCAATGGTGATGGCCAAAGTTTAAACAAATCTAATGAATGAATTTAAAAGGAAAAAAAATATGTAAAAAAAAACATGCGTTTGAGAATGGAATATATTCATAGATGAATGAATGAATGAATGAATGAATTGGTGTTATATAATAATAATTTTAATTGAAAAGTTTTCCACTTGTATTCTTAATGTTCACTGTCTGTCTGTTTTGTTTTTTTTCTGCTGTAAATCATTATGGTTGCTCGAATTTTTTTTTCTTCTCAAACTCGGTTATCGTCACATTTGCATTGCTTCAGATGTGGTTTTTTTTGTTCCAGAATAAGTATATAGTCAAATCAGTTTTATATTCAACATGTTCTGGAAACAAAAAAATTCATCATCATTTGATGCCACCATGATTAATATTAATATAATAATTAAAATTCATAAAATTTTGTTATCACGAAAAAAAAGAATATTCTGGATAAATCCTGAATTTTTTTTCCCTGTCCATCTATCTTTGTTGATCATATTTCATCAACAAATTTTTGCAATAGTTATGACGAATTATAATTATAAATTCAAACGAACAGAAAAAAAAACAAACACTATTGATAACTGGCAATTTTTTGTTGCTTCTAATACTTGGACATTATGGTCAATAATAAAAAAAGTTGATCTCAAATTTCTATAAAAACTCAAAATCTTTTTCCACAAACATTTTTATCCATGATCATGATTCATAGAATAGATATAAATTCATTTATTCGACATTTTTTCATTTAAAAAAAAAACAAACAAACAAAATACACAATTGTAATGCCGTTTTTTTTTGTCATTTTCTGTTATAATGATTATATATATAACATCCAGACAGAATCATCAATGAATTTGAAATGTTTTCATTTCTTTTCAAGAATGAAAAAAAAATGAAGAATATATAAAGACAACAAAAAAAAACCGATATGACAATGACAATAAAGTTCGAATGTTGAAAGTTGATAAATTTGATGGCTATAATTCATCCGTATTTATATTTTATTTATTTATATATATATGTGATATACTATTTCACATTCATTCATACAATTTGATCCAGTTGAATTGAGCTGTCGTTTGATCGTTCATCTTTTCTTCTTTTATTTTTATTTTTTCTTTTCGATGATTATTGTGAATTATGTTGTTGTTGTTGTTGTTGTTGTTGTAATAAAACATATATATATATATATATCGATTTGATTTAGTTTTGTTGAAATGAGAAAAACAACAACAACAACAACAACAACATTAACAAGAAAAATTGGGACGTTGAACTTTTTATTTTCATTTCAATTTTCATGATGAAATCTGATGATATTAAAATCGAATAAATGTAGAATAGAATAATTGAAACATTTTTTTAAATGAAAACAAACACCTGTTTGAACAATTGAATCAAAATTGAAAATTTTTTACTCATTCAAATTCCAAAACAACCAGGTTTGTTCGTTCACACACACACACACACAAAACAGCACTGCAAACAAAAATGGGATGAATAATGAAAAAGAAAAAAAAATTCAAATTTGTTCATCCATAGATTTTAGTGATACACTGATTTTCACCACTGTAGCTGATTATTTAAGCCGAAAATTATTTATTTCTTCATCTTTATTGGAATATCTTTATGAAGCAAAAAAAAAAATAAAACCACAAAAACAACACATTCTCTTATTACAACGGCAGACACACACACACATTCACACACACACACAAACAATTTTATTTGGCACGTTTCATCATTCTTCATGGCACATGTGATGGAACTTACTAAAACACACACACACACACACAACTGCGAAGACAAACAAGAATTTTTATTCCATCTAAATTGTATGTATTTATTTTGTATTGTTATTTATGTGTATGTGTGTGTGTGTTTGTGAGTGTGTGTGTGTGTGTGTGTGTGTGTGTGTGCAAGTTTGATTATTATAGAATAATAAGTGAACACATTATTCGAACCATGAATGTACTAACACACTCGCACACACACACACACATTCACACACAAACTGATTCTAAATTACAAACAATTCTTAAACCCATCGATAGAGGATAGAAATCCCGAAAGTCCTAATTTTTTTTCGAAAAAAAAGAAGAATGTGCTAACGGTCCAAGAAAAAAAAGGAAAATGGTTCAAATTTCATTTGTTTGGAACAATTGCGCTTGCGTTTTTTTTTCTGTGAATGAATGAATGAATGATTTATCTATCAATGTTTGTGTGTGTGTGTGTGTGTGTGTAACTATATCCTCCAATTCAAGAATTTCGTCTGTATTTTTCCTACTATTCCTTGTTATTCTGGAGAGATTTTTTTTTGTTTGTTTGTTTGTTTGAAAATTACATTCTTCATATTCGTTTCATGTGGTACATAGACACAAACGCGCGCATATCTAATATATATATATAAAATATAAATCTTTTTCGAATAAAACCAAAAAAACAAAAAAAAAAGAAATTTTTGTTTGTACCATATACATTGAAAAATTATTGTCTTAAATATTGGTTTTTCAGTCGTATATTTGATTCTTATTGGATCTGGTCGATTGGTTTCCAATTTTTTTTCCATCGAGTTATTGTCATCCGTTTTTTTTGTTCATAAATGATAATAATAATTTTCATTTTCATTTTTTTTTTGGTCCAACTACTGTTTGAAATTTGACCATTATTCAAGAATTTCAAAGATGTTGTTGACTTGAATCGGAATTTAAACTTAGATATATTGCAATTGAATATGAAATAAATAGTTTTTTTGTTTTTATTTTGTTTTGTGTAATCAAATATCGGAACCAGATGATGATGACGATCATATTGATGGCCATGGGTTTTCAAACATCCTGTCCGAAGATGATTCAAATTGATGGAGAAAAAATTTTTTTATTCATTTTTTTTTGTATGTATGTAAAAGCAAAAAAAAAATTACATTTTCAATTTTTCAATCTCTGTTTTCTTCAGTGTTGGTTTTTTTTAGAGCGAAAATGATGAAAATAAATTATTGAATCTATGAATGATTTTTCTAGTGAAACAAAAAAAAAAATTCAGCCATTAAGTTTAGAATACACGAATAGAAAAATGTATATATGGACATCTATTAAATCCCGTTAAATAAAATGATTTTCTTCCACTT